TGTATTGAGACGGATTGAAAGGTGTTATATAATCCTCAATCGAGATCTTCAGTAATACTCATTTTTGAGCCTTGCTTGCATCCACTTAGTCTTTCATACGTACTTGTTTCGAGTCTTCACTCATGGACCTATTTCGTTCGAGGTGTTCCTGGATACCCCCTTGTTCGTACTTTTTTGAAGTCTAATTATCTGTTTTTGCAACAATTTTTGTTTGACTTTTCTGTTTCTCCGTTTTCTGTTTTTTCTGACTTTGACTTTTCTGTTACCGTGTTTTGTTTCACATTGTCTTCCAAAAACACATACGCACGCACATGAGGAAATTCGATGAAAAAGAATTTCTATCAGCACAAATTTTAGAATTTTTATGAGAAAAAAGAAAAAACACAAATATCGACACAAACTACACTTCACCAATGTACGGACGATCTTTCAGTTCCATGGAGCGACCAAAGTCCCTAAATTGTTTGCTCTGGCACGAGACGGATACTCCTTATTATTTCTCTCAGCACCGACTTCTGGTCCATCTCACAAAGCTTATTTCTCCTCTTCCATACCGGCCCTTTCCTCAAGAAGGACACTCTGCGTACTCAATTTTGTGGCATCACCGGCAAGTTTTTTAAGCAAAAAAGTTTTTACCTTAGAATCACGAATTGTTTTCAACAGTACCTTAGGGAATTCAATAATTTCAACACCATCCGATACTCGCCGAGTTTGGTTGCTGGCATCGACCTCATCCCAGCCTGTTCGTACCTTCACCTTCAAGCAATGAAAATTTTTAGTTACTTTTGAAAATAATTAGTATTGAAATCAACAAATAAAAATTTTCCTGTGCGCTACCATACTCCAAAAATCCGAAAAGAGGCACCTTTTAAACTTTAAGATTCTCGAAATTCTATTGAAAAGACACACTCTTGTAAAGGCGATTCCTCGCCTTGCTCTCCTATCCCTTCCCAAACCATAAAACTCAAAAAAAAAAAAAAGTAAAATAAAATAAATAAAATGATGCGTCATCTTCCGATGACACCCCGTCGCGACGTCAGGAATCGACGCTCCCAGCGGAGATCGAATCTTCGACAGGAGTCCGACTCCCTCATTCCCATCCTACCAATCCTCCCGCCACTTTTCCCACCGTAGATGTGATCTACGATGGTCAATTTCGTCTTTCATTCTCATGCGGTATATTCTCAATTCCCGCTGTCGGAAATTGTGACTCATGATAGCAATTGCAGGAAGAACGGTATATAAGCCGGACAATCCCATGTTCGTGGTCCGCGTTCAACTGTGCCGTCTGACGCGATTCGTTGTCTCCCGCAATCTAGTTCGTCTCACCAGTGATCTACTTCGTTCTTCTTTGTGATCGACTTAATTCTACGCATGTGCGTCTGTAACTGATATCCCATAATTGTAATAAAACTTCTCTTACTTTGGTCTGGCCCGACACCTTCCAGGGGTAATTTCGATCTACTGACATACGCGGTACCCAGGTTCAGTAACCACACTTTTTCTCTCTGTAATTTCAGAACTTTGCTTCAAAGACTGCTCTCTGCACAAATAGCAACCCACTGCACAAAAAAGCAAGATTACCTGTCGATTTTCGATCAGTTTCCCGGCCAGAATATTATCA